TTCCAGCTTTAATCTCTGGCATCTCCACACAGGGCTGAAGAAGACCCCTGTCAAAAACCCTGGAGAGCCGCTGGCCACTACCAGTTAATGAATACAATACTGAGCTAGATGGACCAATAGTTTAACTTGATATAAGGCAGCTCCTTATGTTCCTATGAGGTTCTGGACCCTGTTGTTATTTACAGTTTTACTGTTTATATGTTGCATTTTTGTTTTAATGATACTGTTTACATAGCCCACCACTTGAAGATGTTTCAAATATTAAGCGATTTATAAAGATTTTTAGCAAACAAGCAAGCAAACAAAATAAACAAACGCTTCTAGGTTACTTTTCAATTATTCGAGGCAACAGTGTGCTAAAAGTGGCAGACGCAGGTCTGAACTTAATCCGAGAAATGAAATAAAATAACACTTTGGGTACAGGATTCATGGCATCACATTCACCAAGGTTTGGTCTTGGCTATAGACTGTGGTTAAAGAGAAAGCAATGACTATGATGACTTTTGCTTAGCTGATGTGCTGCACTGACTTGAAACTACTGGGGAAGAGTAAAGTGGGTGTGAGCTCCTTTCTAGCAGGTGCCTAAACTTTTCACACAAATATTGCACTCCCATGCACACTCCTATAAGCCCAACTGAACTTATTTCAAACACAGAGACCTGGGCTGCAGTAAATCACCTTTTAAAACAACATGCAACTAAAATGCTTTTCAATATTTCTATTTCATGAGATCTGCTGACCTGGAATCAGAATTTCGCTCCTTCCTATATAATTTCTTTTCTATTGATTTTGAATCACTGATGTGATGATTTTAGATTATTATCCTTGATCCCTTGCTAAAGCTTTCCTTCCACATCTCACATTATTCTGCATTGTTTCCAAGAGAACACCTCGCTTGTCACTCATTCTTCACTTTTTCTCTCTCCTGGGTATAATTCCTCAATTGTCGTACTTTCTGATTCTCAAAAACAATTACAGCCACAATCTCACTGTTGGGTTTGCTGGAGAATGAAGAAGAGGAAGCTTGTGTTGCATCTGCCGTTGCTGCCTCTGCACCTGCTCTCTGGGTGAACAGAGGATTTAGTCTCCATGGTTGTCAGTCCAGAACTTTCAACCCTGATCTTGTCAAAACAGATGCACGCGAGGACTTGTGTCAAGCTTGGTGAGATTACTCTTGTCTACAAAAGCAGTCACGTGCAGAAATCCTGGCAGGATCAGTTTCTTATTAAGGAAGGACTGAGTCCTTCAGAAGAACAAACAAAGAAAGCATCATGGACAAAGCATTGATGGTGAGTATGTCTGAGGCAACATTGCCATCTAGAGACTGGGAAGCAAATACACTGGAATAGACTTTCTTGAAGACCTATGGAGAGTTTGTCTAAACTAAAGAGTGATAGGATGGATCTTTGAAAAGAAAATAGTGTCTTTTTATTATTTGGAGGTGGATATATATCTGCCCGTTAGAGAAAACAAGACTTCCCAGATCAAATTTTTATATGCTTCTTTCAGTTTAACTATAGTTTCCATACTTGGTAAATTGAAACATGTGATCAGTTTCCACTCTTCAGATTCCCCCATTTCCTCCCAAACCTTGTTCTTTTCATTTCCAATATTTTGCTTGTGAACAGAAATTCATGTGCATTTCAAACATATGCAGATTTTAAATGGATTTTCTGGAAATCAGTGGAGAACATTCCAGACAAAATTAATCATTTTTCAAGCACATTAAATGTAACAGGACACATTTATACATATTGATTTCATTCCAAAGAATCAAACTGCTGTAAAAGTGATTAATTTTGGCTGTATTGTGCCAAATATTTATTTTAAACACTGTATGATAAAAACATCTTTCCAGTATATTTATTGCCTTAACCTTTCCATTCACCTATTCCTTTTTCATAGAACTTATCTGTTCAAAAAATTCAGGAGCACTGGATTCCTGTAAACCACACAGTGATGAGCCCTGGGCAGGTAACAATTTCTTTCTTCTAATCCTGGTTTCAGACAAACTAATGTTTGCTGCTTTGTCCAAACTGGTAAACTATGGTTTGCACCTGCTGAATCCGGTTTGCAGAGCAAGTGCAAAAACAGTTTGGTGTCTGGAACATAACAACAACAACTACTACAACAACAACTACTACTACTACTACTACTACTACTAAAACAACAACAATACTTTTATTATTTATACCCCAACCAACTGGCTGGGTTTTCCCAGCCACTCTGAGCAGCTGCCAGCACATATAAAACATAGTAAGACGGCAAACATCTTTCTTCTTCTTCTGATTGCTGTAGTTGCGGAAATTATATGACGGATGTTTCATTGTTGTTACTTAATGATTGTAATAGTTTTATGTGTATATATTGAGAATTGCTTTGAGGTTTATGCAAAGTTTATAAATGAAAAGTGATATTTAAGTTTTAAAAATAATTGAATAGGTTTCATCCCAAACTCCCTGACTCCACAACATTTCTCCATCCCAGAAAATGGGAGGGCAAATTCCAGCCAGGCAAAGGCACTTGAGAAGTGGGGGGGAACAGGACCAATAAGGGGTGTGGCCTGGAGAGAGGGAGTAGGCTGGGGAGAGTCCTGAGGACCAGGTATAGAGAACTGGAGGGCCGCAGGTGGCCCTCAGGGCTGAGGTTTCCTGTTCCTGGTCTACACTGCACAGCAAAGCAAAAACTCACACAGGAGTCTTCCTCTGCCCTACCTGGAGATGCCAGAAGTTGAAGTACGGATGTTTTTCTAAAAACATGTGTTTAATGAATTTATTATGGCCCTTCCTGTTAAGCAAATGTATCTGCAATTCATCAGTGTTGTTAACTTCCAAGAAAGTCTGTTAGGACTGAGGTACAAGAATTCCCACACATCAGGTTATTTGTGTGTGTATCGGGTAATAAACCCAAGGTTCTCTGAGTAATAAAGCAATGTCTCCTTGAAAGATACACATTGACAGCGGCTTTCTTAGCTCTATAGAAACCAACAATAAAGTAATAAAGACAACATCCTTCAGAAAGAGTATGTTTCCGCCTTACCTGAAAAAGCACTAATTTCTTGCAAGTCTGATGCTTTAATGAGGAAGTAAGGTGAAAGAAGATGTGAAATTCAGTTTGCAGGAAGTTCACAGGAAGACTGACAAAGATTGCTCAAGAATGGAATGTCCAGAGGCCTCTGCAACATTTTGCAACACAGCTTAGGTATACAGTCATACCTCGGGTTGAAGTTGCTTCAGGTTGAGTGCTTTCAGGTTGCGCTCCACAGCGACCCGGGAGTAATGGAACGCGTAACTTCCGGGTTTCGCTGCTCGCACATGTGCAAATGGTCAAAATGACATCACGTGCATGCGTGGAAGCGGCGAATCGTGACCCGCACACACACGGGTTGCATTCGCTTCTGGATGCGAACGGGGCTCCGGAACAGATCCTGTTCGTATCCAGTGGTACCATTGTACATAGCTAGTCTCATGGCTGGTGCAAGGCATTATGGGAGAGAGAGTAGGAAGATCTATCTCAGGGGTAGGCAACCTAAGGCCCGGGGGCCAGATGCGGCCCAATCACCTTCTCAATCCGGCCCATGGACGGTCCGGGAATCAGCATGTTTTTACATGAGTAGAATGTGTCCTTTTATTTAAAATGCATCTCTGGTTTATTTTGGGGGCATAGGAATTCATTTGTGTCCCCCCCCAAATATAGTCCGGCCCCCCCCCACATGGTCTGAGGGACAGGGGACCGGCCCACGGCTGAAAAAGGTTGCTGACCCCTGCTCTATCTCATGGCTACTTAGTATCTTTTGCAGAATCATGGATTTAAAATTCTGGAGAAAAGCCTACAAGCTACTTCTCTAATAAAAAGTTTTTTTTTTAAAAAAAGGAAATGTAGAAAGGAAATGCTGCAGATGAAGGCACATATAACAGTACACACTGGAAGTGCTTGATATATAATAAATGACAATAATAGTAGCAGCCTTAACAAGCGTGGTGAATAAAACTCTGGTGTCCCTAATGAGAGATAGAGATGTGGAAGGTGAGCAGCTATTTTTCATTGAATGATAAATCTCCAAAATGTGTTTAATTGGAATGATTTTGTGAACCAAAGTAGTCATAAACAAGTGCATCAGGGATTCCCAAAACGGTCACCAGTTTGCTAGTGGTAACAATCAATGTCATTTTACAGCAGGGAAAGTCCCTACACTATTTTATTGTAGGAATAATAAAAAAAAACCTGTCAGAAATACAGGAAAGTCTTTCTACATGATGTCAGGTGATAGAACTGCTGTACGTACGCGCCCAACACCCACTGCTCCTCTGTAACATCTTCCCTCCTGCATGTGACAAAGGTGAGCTTCACTGGCTATTCAAAATAATGATTGACTAGCATGGCAATGAGGAAACTATGGCCCTCCATATGTTGTTGGACTACAACTGCCGTCATCCCAGACCGTGTGAGCTGAGACTGAGGGGAACTGAGAGCCCAACAACATCAGGAGGCCAGAGTTTTCCCATCCCTGGACTAGCAATTCCTTCAATAAACTGTAGACTCCTGTTACTTCTGCTAAAGCAAGGCAGGTAAGGAAGGCTGTGCCTATTTTTCTTCCATGTTACACTATGATGGGTGAAGCTTTTCTAAGTGTCAAATTTCCTAATATAGATGTAATGCAGACCTTGTTTAAGAAAAGGCAGTTCCAAATACAGTGGTACCTCGGGTTAAGTACTTAATTTGTTCCGGAGGTCTGTTCTTAACCTGAAACTGTTCTTAACCTGAAGCACCACTTTAGCTAATGGGGCCTCCCGCTGCCGCCGCGCCACCAGAGCACGATTTCTGTTCTTATCCTGAAGCAAAGTTCTTAACCTGAAGCACTATTTCTGGGTTAGCGGAGTCTGTAACCTGAAGCATATGTAACCTGAAGCGTATGTAACCCGAGCTACCACTGTAAATGGGTTTTAAAAATGCACTTGAAAACTTGTATGCTGGAGGTATGCCAACATTAGTGGGGGTTTTGTTTGCAAAGACCTGCAGCTCCTCTCCCTTTAACAGGCAAAAACGTTTACCGGAATCCCCACTTCTTAAATACTCTTATCTATCTGTGGAGGATATTCTGAATAATGCATCTTAGAGGGGTTGCTGGGGATGAGTTCATGGAGCCAGTGTGGGGGTGTAGCAGCCTGGAAAAGGCTGGGAACCACCACTGCTCTTGGCAGTTATCTTTAACGTTACCAACTGTCACTGACTTCAAGAGAGGAGCCTGCACACCAGATGGCAGCCAAAACTGTTTCTAATCATCCCCGCACACAGAGATTTTTGACTCGGGCGTCTAACGTCCCGCTCTCTACCCCCTCCTCGCAGTGAAAGGAGGAAATCCCCTGGCAGAGCAGAGCTGCTGCGTCGAGATAGCAACTCAACTGGTGCTCGTCATCTCCCTTCCCTCGCGCCCCCTCTCCTCTTTCGGGGCCGGAAGGACGGGAGGAAGGGGCATGTTCTCCAAAGGAGATGTGAAAGCTATCTGATCACATGGGGACTCCCTTTTCTCGGCTCCTCTACTCCAAGCTCGCCCAATCTTGCTGCCTTCTGAAATTGCTTGGCGCAGGTAAACGTATCAGTGTGTGTGTGTGTGTGTGTGAGAGAGAGAGAGAGAGCGAGCGAGCGCAGGGATCGTAAGATTTTAATCTGAGCTTGTTTTTCAACTGCAGCAAAACAAGAAAAAGGGGGTTGGGAAGCAATCGGATGTGGAAGGGCGTAGGGCGAGGTTATGCTTTTAATTAGAATAACAATACAGGGGACAACGGTAGCTCACCTTGCTCTCTGGCTACTGGCGTTTTCTAGGCAAAGGAGGCCGGGGAAATCCCAACGCTCGGTTTGCGCCAAGACGTGGCGCCCGCTGCCTGGGCTCGGACCTCTCGCTTGCTTTGCGCTTTCGTGCCCAGCCGGAAGCGCAAGTGAAACTGAAAGTGAAAGTGTGATTCCAGCCAGGGGCTTGGCTTACTAATCGGCGAGGCCTTGTGGGACGGGCCTCCCGCTCAATTACACAAGCGATCGGGCTGGTTGGTGCAACTGCTTTCGGCGAGGATGGCACCGTCTGCAAGCCAGACCTAGACCAAAGCAGGGAGATACTAGGAGGGGAAAAACAGCCACTTATTCTTCCTGGGGCGTTATTTTCTAGTTTATTTGGTTCCACTTGCCAGATCAAGAAGCACCCCTTTCTCGGAGGGTAAGCTGAGGAAGAGGGAGGTTGTACTGTATTAGCATATTTTTTGGGGTAAGGTTTAAAGTGGCCTTTTTATTTTGAACAGTTCCAGCAGCACCTTGATTATGACCAAGCAGCTTGCTGCAAAATAATAAGCAGGACTTTGAGGTCACCAGAAGCCTTCATCAGGCTGGAATGGCACAACGAGGTTTAGCAAAGGGCAGGGGTATGCGTGTATATGTTTGATAAAAAAAGCTGGCTTGGTATTCAGGACAAAACAAAACGTCACAAAAATACAAGCAAGCCTTTGAGTCCACCAGAACTCTTCATCAGGTTGGGTAATGTAGCAAAGTTTAGCAGGGTAAGAGAAAAGCTGATGTTGAAACTACTGTGGTCAAAAAGTTTGCTTTTGTATGAGCTTAGAAGGGGTGTAGCTATGGGGGGAGGCTGTTAAGAGCTCTTCGGGTGGAGGAACAGACTTGTGGGCTTTCTCTAAGTATGGAGTGTATAGAAACAACTGTTATTTCTGGAGTGTCTTCCAGTGAGAAGCCAGAGAGAACCATGAACAATGTGGGTGCTATCAAGGATGTAGCTAGATGTTTGGGTAAAGTGAACAGCTACAGGCCAGTGTGGTTTTAAGTGGAGTAAGTTGAATTCAGTAGGGCTTCATTTCTGTCACCAACCCAAATTTTGAATTGTCCCTCCTCTTGTAGCTAGCTTTACTAGGGTTTCTAGGAGCCTAAGCAGAGCGCAACAGCATAAGGCCAAAAACCCATCTATTACAGCATTCTGTTCCTACAGTGGTCAACTAGATGCCTATGGGAAGCTCACAAGCAGGACACAAATGCAACAACTCCTGTTGTTGTACCCTAGAAAATGGTATTCAGAAATATACTACTAAGATATTGAAGGTAACAGAACTATCCCTGGTGGTCTAGTGGTTAGGATTTGGTGCTCTCACTGCCAGGGCCCAGGTTTGATTTCTGGTCAAGGAACACGTCTTTAACAAGGCCTGGATAGCCCAGTTGGTTAGAGCATGGTGCTGATAACACCAAGGTTGCAGATGTGATCCCTGTATGGGGCAGCTGCATTTTCCAGCATTGCAGGGGGTTTGACTAGATAATCCTCAGGGGCCCTTCCAACTCTTCACTTCTGTGTTTCCATTATTATCTTTGATAGCCATTGGCAGCTTCACCCTCCATGAATTTTTCTAATCCCCTTTGAAAGCAGTCCAAGTAGGTGGCTATGGTCACATTTTGTAGAAGTAAATGCCATAGTTTTAGCTACATGCTGTGTGAGGTTTTTTCTTTCATCTGTCCTGAATGTGCCATCACAAGCAAAAGTCCTATCCTGTCATTGTACCCTAGAAACTGGCATTCGGAAGTATACTGATTGGATACAGGAGGTAACAGAACTATCCCTGGTGATCTAGTGGTTAGGATTCGGCGCTCTAACTGCCACAGCCTGGGTTCGATTGCCGATCAGTAGATGCTGTAACCTAGAAACTGGCATTTGGAAGTATACTGATTGGATACTGGAGGTAACAGAACTATCCCTGGTGATCTAGTGGTTAGGATTCGGCGCTCTAACTGCCACAGCCTGGGTTCGATTGCCGATCAGTAGATGCTGTATCCTAGAAACTGGCATTCGGAAGTATACTGATTGGATACAGGAGGTAACAGAACTATCCCTGGTGGTCTAGTGGTTAGGATTCAGCGCTCTCACTGCCACGGCCTGGGTTTGATTGCCGGTCAGTAGATGCTCAGTTCTAGCATTGTGAAAGAAAATTGGATGGGGGGAGCATCTGCAGGTAAGATGGTGCTAGGCAGATCCATGAGAGGGAAGGTGGCTGGCTCATCTGCCTGTTGCCCTTGGAGAGGAGCTGACACACATTTTTCTGACTGTAGCTTGCTTTTACATTTTTTCTTTCTGGTTGTTTTTTGTTTTTTTAATAGTGTGAAGTTGTGGTTGATGTTTTCTTCTAGGGTTTTTCTGAGAACTAGTACTGCCATGGCCAGCTTTGAAACTGAAGATACAGAAGAGACTGTGACCTGTCTCCATATCAAAGTCTATCATCCAAGTCAAATGGAAAAGAATGTATTCCAAGCCTTCCACTTTTGCCAGCCACATCACGTGAAAGTAGATGACCTAGTGAAGTTTGGAAGAGATGGTCAGGTCTGCCGCTTTAACTTTGTAGATGGACGGGCCTCACGTATTCAGTTTGCTCTGCAGTGTTTCAGACACTTCAACAGCTCAAAGCTGGGTTTCGAGATTAAGAATTTGAGCAAGAAGACAAAGCTGTTTGTGGATCTCGCTGAACTGGCTTACCTGAATAAGGTTGAGTTGCAAGAGACATGCATGGTTTGCTTTGGAGAGTACCAAATGCTATTGGAAAAAGAAGAAGGACAGTCAGATAAGTATTTTGACATCCGCTTTGAATTATCAAAAACACCCATGTTGCAGCCAAAAAACTTGTCTTGGCGGGAACCTATACCTGAATGTGGCTTTTCATGTGCTGAATCTCCAGTTGAGATAGATGAGACGGAAGAAATGGGAAACGCCCTCCATGAGAAATGGACTTACTAGTTTCAATGTTACAAATTCAATGTTGTTGGTTTTTTGCCCTATGTACTATTGCAGTTGAATGGTATCCTTCATATATGTCCAATATATGCCTACACTATGAAAAGGTTAGCATTGTTCTTTGTAAGCTGCCACTTTACAGATATTTTGGCATCATTGCTTAAAATACTGGTGAGGAGCCACCAGTCTGTGAGCCTAATTAGCTGGTCAGTGGCACTTACAAAACACAATGCCTTTGCCTGCATGGTTTGACTTCAAACTGCATGGGCAAAGGAAAACAGGTTACCTGCTGTCATTGTGATTGACACGGCATCCTCTATCAAAATTGGCTCCTGGGGGCGGGGAAGGTAAAGATCTGGCCCACCATTGGTATCCAGTTTCCCACCTCTGGCTTAAAACAGGTAAATGATAATCTATCATACAGCCAGAGGACTTGGCAGTAACAATGCAGGCTTTCAATACTTTTCAGCAGTGGATGACCTGTAGCCTTCCAGATATTGCAGGACTCCCAGCAATTCTAGCTGTCAGTTCCAGCCAGCATGCCCAATGATCATGGGATAATGGGAGTTTTAGTCCAAAAGCTGCCACAGGCCACAGGTTGGCCACCTCTGCTCTAAGGACTACCTGAAGGCAAAAAGAAAATTCTGACCCTGTAATACCACTGTCATCTTGGATGGATGGCTAACGATCACCCAGCAATATAAAACTGGAACCAATTGCTTTCCTTTTTAAACTGGTAATGTTTTGTTTAAATACAACACTGCAAGCCTGCCCAAAAGCAAAAGAAACTTGGAGAACATAATGGGGTATGCAATATCTAAAGGTCTCTTTTATATTTCATAGCCTGACCTGTACGTGCTTCCTGCTCTGTTTCTGAACAGCTGTTGATTTGAAATTGCTGCAAGTTGTGAAAGTACATAAACGCATGCATGCTAGCATTACTACTGCTATGCAACTATTTTGATTCCATTTGGACACCATGCTGTGTTCTCTTGTGCTAGTAGCTGTTAGATTGTGAGATTAGGATTGGGGCAGAGGAGGTGACTTCAAATTTGCATTTAACCAAGAGGAACACTGGGGTAGACCTGGTCTAATCAGGTTTGGTTCCCCTTATTAATGAGGTCCACTTGGTGCCTTTGCTGACCTAGACGAAAAAATACATATTTTCCAGGCTTTTGCGACGGTGACTGCTATTAGCATGCTGCTAGAGCTTTATAATGGGACGCGGGTGGCGCTGTGGGTAAAAGCCTCAGCGCCTAGGACTTGCCGATCGAAAGGTTGGCGGTTCGAATCCCCGCGGTGGGATGCGCTCCCGTCGCTCGGTCCCAGCGCCTGCCAACCTAGCGGTTCGAAAGCACCCCCGGGTGCAAGTAGATAAATAGGGACCGCTTACTAGCGGGAAGGTAAACGGCGTTCCGTGTGCTGCGCTGGCTCGCCAGATGCAGCTTGTCACGCTGGCCACGTGACCCGGAAGTGTCTGCGGACAGCGCTGGCTCCCGGCCTCTAGAGTGAGATGAGCACACAACCCTGGAGTCTGTCAAGACTGGCCCATACGGGCAGGGGTACCTTTACCTTTTAGAGCTTTATACTGCTGTTATGAGTGGAACAGGGGGTTGTTTTGTGTATTGCTCATGATCTGCACGTATTTCTGTGTGACTGTGCTTGTAAAATATTTTAACAACTTGTGCTTATAGTATGTTACAAGTCTCCTGGAGGCCTTCTGTGTAACAAGCAACTAAGAAGTTTACTAAATAAACACAATATAATCACAATCTCTCAGCCTAACTCATCACAGGGTGTTGCAAGGATAAGAGGTGGTTCAGCAGAGAACTGCCTACATTACCCGTAGCTACGTAAGAGTAGGATAAAATGCAATTAATAGTATTATTAAAGATTCAGGTTGCAGTCATCCAAAGTTAGGCTGCTTAAATGGGATTTATGTTGCCAAGCTTTATGCAGGATTGCAGCCAAATTGAAAATCAAGTTCAGCCCTCAGGGAAAAAACTGGTTACAGCATTAAAAATGACGAAACATGTACACCATGCATTTAAAGCACTCTTCTGTCGCTTTAACAGTCATGGCTTCCCCCAAGAATCCTGGGAACTGTAGTTTTAAGGGTGCAGAGCATTTATTTAATAAAGTTTATACACTGCTTGATCACAAAAAACAACCATCTCAAAGCAGTTTACAAAAATTTGTAGATGATAACAGATAAAAACAAATATTTAAAACTTTCAGAATTTTAAAATCATAAATATACTAAAGACACTCATCAACATTCTACAAATCTGGGTAGGCTTGTGTAAACAAAAATGTTTTTAGTGGGCGCTGGGGGAAATAAAGGTGCCTGTCTGATGTCAGCAGGTAGGGATTTCCAAAGTTAGGGTCTGCCACAAGGATAAATTTCTTATAAATACTGAACAGGTATTATGTGGCATATGTAAAAGTGTCAATTCTGTAGTTAGATCTCCCATAGAGCTACAATTCCCAGCACCCTTTACAAACTAGTATTTACAATTATTTTGGGAAGGGGAACCATGACTGTTAAAGTGCTGCAAGCGTGTTTTAAATATACAATATGGTGTTAATGTGATCACAGGTTTTCACAATGGGTCATTGTATGCTTAAGAATATCAGGAAGGCAAGGGGTGGTGTCTTTCAGTTAAATATACCAACATAACGTGACAAGGGCAGTGGGACCAATATGTGATAGATAGCAAAGCCACAAGTCTTTTCAGGAGTAAAAGAACAAAGATTGGAATGAGGGACAGTAGGCATTAGTTATGTAATAAGACAGCTAAGAGGGACGCGGGTGGCGCTGTGGGTAAAACCTCAGCGCCTAGGACTTGCCGATTGCATGGTCGGCGGTTCGAATCCCCGTGGCGGGCTGCACTCCCGTCGTTCAGTCCCAGCGCCTGCCAACCTAGCAGTTCGAAAGCACCCCCGGGTGCAAGTAGATAAATAGGGACCGCTTACCAGCGGAAAGGTAAACGGCGTTCCGTGTGCTGCGCTGGCTCGCCAGGTGCAGCTTCGTCACGCTGGCCACGTGACCCGGAAGTGTCTGTGGACAGCGCTGGCTCCCGGCCTCTAGAGTGAGAGGAGCGCACAACCCTAGAGTCTGTCAAGACTGGCCCGTACGGGCAGGGGTACCTTTACCTTTAAGACAGCTAAGTGCAAAGTTTTTGAATTTTAGACTGAATTCTATCAAAAGTTATTTTACCAAGTTCTGTTTCTTCAGAGGTGGAGAACTGATGTGAAAGTTCCAAAGAACCACCCTGCTGAATCAGACCCAAGCCTCATGTAGTCCAGCATCCAATTTTCCACTTTGTCAATCAGAAGTCTATAGAAAGTGCAGGAGCAAGAGAGGGCAACAGCTGCCTCTTGATACTGGAAGAAGTATAAAATAATTGTGATTAGTAGCCATTGATAAGACAAATTCCAGAAGTATAAGGCTGATTGCCATCTAAATTGGAGTCTCCCACTACAGTCCATAGCAGGAAGAGATTAATTTGCCCCACCTTTGCTCTTCAGAATTCCACCAGTCCAATTCCACCACCAACCCCAACCCCACTGGTAGTGGTGGGGAAGCCACCAACTCATATATACCATGCAGGAGTCCCCATTTGTTCTGCAAGTCTGTTTTCCCCAAGCCATGCCCACTAGCCCTATGCCTGATGAGGCGAGATACGGGGCAGGTAAAGATGCAACTCCTGCCAAAAGTAGGGTTTGCAGGTGCCAGTCAGCTGCATGTGCTAATGCATGCCTTTGCCCTTGCAGTATTAAAATCAACTGATTGGGTGGCTCTGCTGACCTGTCGGAACTGGGAGAAGCAAGGAACTTGTCCATCAGCTAGGCAAGCCTCCTAACCCCATGACCTCTGGGAATGGCACATCCCTCAGTTATGGTAGAAAGCAAGCTTTTTGCCTGTGTTCATTTTTCAGCAGGGCAGGCAATTCTTGCATTTCAACTCACTTCACTTTCAGGTACCAGTTTGAACAGGTAGTATCAGGCTAGTTCTGAAGTGTGTAAAAATTTATTCACAGCTTGAGAAATTTAAAACTTTAAGGACTGATAACATGAAAAAGTCAGGAAGAGACAGTAGCGCATGTCAAAACCAAAAATATACATCTGAAGTGTAGAAATCTTATAATAAAGCATATTACAGGCATTGCAAAATGCAACACTTAAAATGAAAATATATTATGCAACAAAGCTCCCAATTACGAAATGCAATACATTAAGAAAGGATAAGCTGTTTAATGTCATATGTACATGTGGCCAATATCTTTGTTAAACATAAAAGGCACAGGGAGAGACAAACCAATCTATAGTGATCCTGGCATACTATATGGGTTAAAATAACTATATAAACATTTGATAATTATTTATTGCCACTGACCACTTTACATCCATATTATTGGGGCAGTGAATAAAATGTATAAAAGGCAAATATTTGGAGTCTGTAATGAAGTATTATAAATTAATCAAAGATAGTGAGAGCAAGAAGAGGTAAAAGGAGCAGGAGCCAAAAGAAAGAGATTACTGATAATAACATAATAGTAATGAAGGCCTCTTACAGGGCAATAGAGATAGAGATGTTGAGTCTGAGAGTAAGGAAAGTAAATGCTGTCATTTCCCCCTCAGTTTATGGCCATAACAAAGGGTGCTGCCATTGGTAGCAAAGCTTCAGCAGGAGACAGAGCTGCTACTAAAGTTGATCAATTATTTTCTGTGCTGCTGCTTTGTGTTTCCTTGCCCTTGAGGCAGCTGCTTGTAAATATCTGCAAAAGCAACCTCTCCATTTAGGAAGCTAGCAAGCAGAAATCCCTACAAGAAGAAGGAAGTATTAAGAAATCATGTAAAGCAAGTACTCTTGCTCTCTGATTGACTGTACTGCTGAACTCTGCAATATTCAGATTTTCCATGAACCTAAAATCCGCATGGCAGACATGTACTGTGGTGGTTTATTAAAGAGCAAGTACCATTTCAAAGCAGCATTCTTTTCTGGGGGGAAAGAGGATATAGGAGGATAGAGGCTTTTCTGCAGTGCAGAGTCATGGGTGCCAGAACAATTCTAACTGGCACTGAGGATCTTCTCTTTAGAATTAAAATCCACAGGACAATTTTTAAGAGAAATAAAATATTAGGCAATATCATCATCATCATCATTCTCCAACATATTTCCAGCAATAATTAAACTTGATTAAGTTACAGATTTTGTCACTAATCTTAATTAGTTAAATTAATGGAACTTTCACATACCAGGTAAGCTTGGACTGGAATACTAATTTGCATTAATACAGCCACAGAAATTAGTCATGCTTTCCATCTTCCATATCAAAAGAACACTATGTTCGAGTTTCCGATATTAATATCAGTGTTCATTAAGTTAGCAACAGTGAAACAAAATTATTTGTGCACAACTTAAAAATATATGCATCTTTTGGCATTTCAAGTTGGTAGGGAATCTGAACCTTTGGTTCTGTAGAATCTAAAGTTTTACTTCCAAAAACCAGCCTTTTCATTTCCAGTGTTTAAAACAGAGATTCTTTCAAAGTTTTCTAACAATATTCACTAGCTCATTACTGCACAAGAACAATAATGTCTTAAACGATACTTTTAAAAACCTTTTTAAGTGTGAGAGGCATTGTGCTTGGGAGGGATCTGGTCAGTTTCATGAAGTCAATAAATAAAAGGGTTGAAGATCAATTTCACATGTAAAATTTCATTTCTTCTTATCAGAACAAGTTGAACAGAAAAAAATAATACCTGTAAAATTGTTCTAACATTCAAGTATTAAGGTTTTAAGTACTTCCTATATAAATTATTGTGCCAATGTCAATACTTAAAGCAAGTATGCATAAGTGAGCTGAATGTGGCTCTTCAGACTTCTCTATCTCACTCTTGGGACTCTCTCAAAGGCCACGTTTCTCAACAGCCCTATTCCAGTGCTTTTGCCTGGCAACAATATACAGTGGTGCCCCGCAAGACGAATGCCTCGCAAGACGAAAAACTCTCTAGACGAAAGGGTTTTTCGGTTTTGCGTTGCTTCGCTAGACGAATTTCCCTATGGGCTTGCTTCGCAAGACGAAAACGTCTTGCGCTTTTTTCTTAAAGCCGCTTGAAGAGGCGCAGTTGCGACGGACCGTGCTTCGCAAGACGAAAAACATCGCAAAACGAAAAGACTCGCGGAACGAATTATTTTCGTCTTGCGAGGCACCACTGTATCCTTGAACTGTGATAATGCCTCTTGCTTACCTGGATGGACAGACTGTGTGCGTCTGAGCACTCATAAATTCTGGTTTTTGCATGGCTGGAATGTAGACTGCCGAACAAGGTATGTTAAGCCCTGCCCATTCTTGCTTCTGGCTCAACCACTACTGCCATGTGGCCCCTGAAATGTTTCCCATGAGAGATAGCCCTCAGGCTGAAACAGGTTGCTCATCCTAGATTCAAAGAAATTAGAAATACAGCTCTAGAACCAGATCGTTGATTAAAACATCAAGCTGCGATGTGTCATTTAGTGCAGACAATTGTGTACTAAAACCCAACAATAGACACAACAGAATCACTCAAGTATTTTCAAAGAATTTCAAAGGTAGATGATAAAATTGCACTTAAAATTCTGAATTCAGATAGCAAACCATACTCTTCATTCTTTTAACTGACATAGTCTCCTTTTTCTATAGGAAATCTGGAGCTCAGTTCACCAAGTACTGTCACTGTGCAACTTCCTTATTTTAAAGGAGGCTGTGCAGCAGCAATGATTGGAGGATTGTGCACAATACAGATTTGTAGGTTTTTCCCCAACTTCAACCATTTGGTCAGATAGCCAAGGGCCACACAATTTCATTATCTGTCCTGTTGGTCAGTATCAGATTTTTTTTGGTCTGATGCAGACAGTTCTAAGACGGGGTTTACAAAGCCAGCATACTCAGAGTTGCCATTATCATCCATTTCAGCACTAACAAAATCATTCTCCCATTCCAAACCATTAGAATCATCAGATGCAGAAGTTGGGTTACTTCCAGTTTTCTTGCTGCTAAATTTCAGTGCTGCTCGAAGAATGTCTTCTTCAGTTTTTGAGCGTTCTCGCAATGGGACCATTCTGTTCATGCCTGCAATTTTTTAAAAAAAACTGTTTAAAAGCAGTATACTATATTTGGGAAAAACCATGCATTTGACTTTCAATAAGAGATGCATCCTGAATTAAATAGCAGCCAAAGAAATATATGATTGATGAGGTGAACTGGCTCTCTTTCTTAAAGGTATGTCCAGCTTGTTTCTCTATGCTGTATTTTAATTAGCCCCTGTAAAACATTTAAACGCTTTTCTGTGAACTATAAATCACAGGCATCTTTGAAAAACACACTGCCTTCTGAGTTTGCAGAATACAAGTTTCTGTTTAGGCACAGTAGAAGTGAAAAAACAGTCACTACATTATTGCACCTGAATAGGAAAGAGTGAAGTAGTAGCAGGCCAATAGCACTTCCCTTCAAAGACATTGCAGCAGCAGCAGCAGATGATGATGATTACTACTACTAACACAACAAAATCCATCAGTTCATTCAATAGCAAAAACATTATTATGCTAGTTTTGCAAAGTTATATGTGCCATAAATGTAAAAAACAGTAATTCCATAATGCAAAAAAGCAAGTAGTTACGGCTGTCAAGGTCTCATCAATTTGCTGTTTAAATATAAAAAGAACCCATCCTGCAACAGAAGTAACCACCATTGCAAGAATAAATGGAAACTGGGAAGTAACTAATTTCATATGACTGCATTTGTGTTTTATTCAGGTTTTTACGTTAACATTGGCTTATTCTGGCAATTCTACTTTACTTAACCAAACCAACAAATACTTAAAAGTTATATTCATCTCCCAATTACCAGTTTCCACACTATGGAAGCAAGATATGCAACTCTGAGAGGAATATTGAAAAGGGATTTCACCCCACTCTGTGTTTTTTAAATATCCCAACAGTATCTATTTGCTTAGATGTTCAAACAGACCTTTGGTATTATTTATATGCTTAGGTCAGCAAAATCAATATAGCACAGAACAAATACCTTCTTCATCTTCCCATTCTAAATCTAAGGAATTACTGTCATCATTTCCACTTGTCGATTTGGTTTTTGTCATCAAGTCACAACTGCTCTCTGTATTTGGTGTCAGAACAGTGGCATCTGAGGACAGCCCTGTGAGCAAAACACGTATTTATACTTCAAATATACCAGCACCATTAAACAATACACCAGCCCAACAGCTTTTAGCTTTAGTAATATTAAAATCTGCAAAATGCCACACAACTATTATCTAGAATATATATTGTGGCATTTTGATTGCACACATGCCAAGCAACATTCTCTTTAATAAAGACATCTACAACAGTAACCTTAGGATATATATATATACCAAAATGTCTTGACACTTTAAAATAAAGCCTGCATATGAAAATAATGGGTTCTTCTTGCCGATCAGTAGATGTTCCTCTAGGACGTTGAATAATTTTTTTAAGAAAGGGAAGTGAATTTTGAATTGCTGTAATTGACATATGTATAGTGTGCACCTACATGTGTAAGGGTTTTCAATACCCTTTGTAATATTTGAGCTACTTGGTAGCAGCAGTAAAAGCTGTGGCTGAAGAACATCCACACACACAAAATACTTACTGCTGCTCCGAAAAGCTTCATATTGTAGTTTTACATTCCTCAGGTAGGAATCAAAGTCTTCTTCTGTCACTGAGCTGTGAAAGAACAAACAAGTTACATCAAGGAGGACCAATTTCAGAACCAAAGATTGGCTTACAACACCAACATATAGTTTCCTACATTTTGAATGTGATGGGTTGGAGCCAGTGTAATAATATTCCTACTAGAGGAATGGGATGTGGGAGAATATTTCTTCCCACTTCATTCTGTGAATTTGCAACCTACAAATTTATAAAGGGAACAAGGGTACATCCACCTGCTGCTTCAAATGAATTAAAAATTGAAGTTGTTTCTGCATTAAAATTATACAGCGATTTCAAATTCCCTGTCAAGCTAAATATTAAAGGCTCCTGACTGAATATCTTACCTTAAACCATCTCCATTGCTTGCCAGTTGGGCTCTTTGCAGTCTTTGTTGCTGAAATTTTAAAAAATGAACATACGTTTCAAGAAATAAACTCAAAAGAATACAGCTTAGCTTAAACTCTCTAGTTCAAGCCAGGTATATGAACACACCTACTCAACAGGACAGTTTATATGCTCAACTATTATGCCTGTCTGCACAGTGCCTGATTGTTTCTCATTAACAGCAGAATGAGGCTTTTTTCTCTATGACATTTCTATATTGCCTTTCCATAAAAATATAAACAAACTGGAGGGTGCTCAAGTATCAGACTGAGCAAATCCCATGACCTTCCAATAAAGTTGAAAATGTCTCACAATTTTATCCTGCTTCCTAACTTGCAGAAACAAATTTCATTCTGTTCTTGGTTCTTCTAAACTTTTTATTGGCACTTGTGACTATTTGCAGCAGCTAAAGAATGAAGGAGGACTGCATAAATAATGCCTACACAGGAAGCTGTCTTATATTGAGTCAGAACATTGGTTGAGTATTGTCAACAGGGACTGTCAGCATCTCTCCAATGTTTCAGATATGAGCCCTACCCAGACCTGCCTAGTGATGCCAGGAATTGAATCTGGGTCCTTCTATATGCTAAGTACATGGGTTACGCCCATATTGGGGGGGGGGACATGTGTGAGTCACATGGCACACCTGGCCCTATCAGGCCTTGGTGCGCCATGTGATGTCACATGCGTGACACCTTGGGTCTCCCGCTGGGCAACTACAGTGATAGTACCTATGGTACATGTTCTGCCATCAAGCTACAGCCCTTCTCAGGTTTGTTTGTTGCAGCGAATCCATTCCTAGTCATTCTAGAAAGGACAGTACCATAAGGATAATAAAATAAAATAAAATGCATAATTTAACAAACGTAGAAAAAAAGAAATCAAAGACATTTCATCAGCTAAAATACTGATGTTGGATAACATTTAGAAGCAGTCCAGTACGTGAGGCTGCTTTTAACTATGTCATTTCTGATGCAACCAACACCAGTGACAGAAACATCAGTGTGCTGTTTAAAACGTATTTTAATAAAAGTGTGACACAATTGCTGGAAGAAATAAAATGCTAGAATACACTTTGCCTCCCATAAAAATAACTACACTTTTTCTTAAAGCATGTAGACCAAGCTATTGTCGTTTTCTTAACTACTGGGCTGACCTTACAAAGCCGTCCTTAAGATGTTCTGTGGTCTTTTATGAAATCCTAATTAAGTGCTTACATTTGGATGCAGTTGGTTATTAAATTACATAGTCCAAAAACCTTTTCAGCGGCTGCCAGAAATCCTGGGATGCAACATAAATACCGAGGATATTATTATTCCAAAATACTAATCCTTTATACACCATAAGGATCTGGTATTCCACTCACCTTTGCTTTAGAGTTCCTAATTGCATTGAAACCACTTCCTCACACAGATCATGCGGCAAGAAGTTACAAGACTTAGTATTATATATGGCCTTGTTCAGACTTAGCTCTGCTGCTCCAACAAACTGGTTTGCTGAAATATGGATGACCAAGAAACCTGAATGCTCCATCTTGCCCTTGTTTATCTGGCTTGGTTGGAGACTTAGGTGTTTTTGTTAAAGCAGTTTCCTGCAATGTCTCATTTAGGAAATTGTGATTCTGGAGGCAGAGCTTAAACCACAAATTTCCAGCTTGATGTTATGGGACACAGTTACTTAATAAGACGTCTCCCTCTTAAGCTGGAGATACAAAGAGAAAGGGAAGGCACATGCACTCTTTACTTAACACTGTTAACATTGTTAATAGTTAATATATTTCTGAACACTAAATAGAATGTTTGACTTATTGCCATTAGTTCATTTTATGCAGGGGATCCCTGCCCAGTGGAGTGAGTGGGAGGAACCATTCCTCTATGACTCCTCTCTCCTCCCACTACAGGACATTATTGATTTCTGATGTATTCCAGAAATCCATCATTAACATCTTTGCACAAAATTTCAATAATGCTTCTCTATGAAGAATGATGACTGCTAGGTATGGAGTAAAAAGCATACAAAACAAAGGAGAACAAAAACCCCGAAAGCATCCCCACCCCGCAAAAGGAGAAAGTGGTAAAGTTATATATTTTAAAAGTTATTTAAAAATTATCAATGTGAATCCTCGTCATTGATATCTACTTATGTGGTATTATTCTACCCTCCTCCAAGGACACTAGGGGGGTGTACATGGCTCTTCCCCCACCTCCTGCTCAGTGAGGCAAGCTGCGCTAAGAGTTCATGACTTTCAAGGTTGAGTAACTGAATTCAAGTCTCTCTGGTGCTCTAACCCGGGATGGGCAACCTACAGCCCTTGAACTGCATGTGACCCTCAGCCCTCTGCAAGTGATCAGTTCAGACTTCTGGCAAGAGTGGTATCTCCCTGCTAGGTAGTGGAGGAGAGGAAAGAGAGAAAGAAGGGAATGCCATCCACTTTTACTCTGTCCCTGTACCATAACTGATTTCGACCCCATACACACATTTGGCACATTTGCCACAAACAATTACCCCAAAAAGGAATACATCTCTCAAAAAAAAAGGGGGGGCACCCATCCCTGCCCTAACGATTTATCATTCAGATTTATCATATAGGTTCACTTGCTTTCAAAGCAAGCTTAGTATTGCAGGACAAGATCCTTATCCTAGTAAGGGGTCAGCAAACTTTTTCAGCAGGGGGCCGGTCCACTGTCCCTCAGACCTTGTGGGGGGCTAGACTATATTTTGAAGGGGGGGAAAATAACAAATTCCTATGCCCACAAATAACCCAGAGATGCAGTTTAAATAAAAGCACACATTCTACTCATGTAAAAACATGCTGATTCCTGGACTGTCCATGGGCCGGATTTAAAAGGCGATTGGGCCAGATCTGGCCCCCGGGTCTTAGTTTGCCTGCCCATGTCCTAGATTTTGCCAACCTATCTCCAGCCCTCATCTACAGTTTGTAGTGTGCTCAGACGCAGTAAGTTCACACTGACAATTATGATCCAGAATAATTTTAAAATTTCACTTACTTCCATAAAATTGACAGATTGTCAATAAAATGAAAGGATTAATGATCCTACAATCTTCTGCAAGATTGACTAGCCTGCAGTTAGTATCTTCAGAATGTTTTAAGTAACTGGCCAACTGTTATCTATTCACCACAGGTTCAATAGTAGAAACGTATTAAATATATGTTTATTAATGTCCTATATAAAATATTTGATACTCTGCTCAAGAGATTAAAGGAATTACAAACTACTAAAATAAACTTGGAATGTTATTTTTAGGATAGCATGTGAAACTAAGCAAGATACACAACAGGGGCTCTGATACATATATTTTGGGGTCTTCTCCCCTCACCTCCAAGAGCTTTCTCTGCTTTGCTGCCCTGGCTGCTTCACGCTGCGCAGCATATAAAGTCTCCTCTTCTATTCTTAACTTCTCCTCTTGTTTGGCTAACTGTATATGAACAAAATAGTAAGGATTAACAAAACAGAACCTAGCTATCTTTCCTATGAAAATAAGTGCACTAAATTTAAAGGAAAAGTTATTCATGAAAAATACAAAACACAAAATTTACTGGTGTGATTAAAAAAAGAAACTATTTTCATACTATCTTCCATACTATCTTCCAATATCAGTTGTTACTTGAATTAAGCATATTAACTAGATTAATTAAAATCTTCTTTAAAAGCAATTTTAGCTCTAGGTATTCCACTGATCATAAACAGAAGTCAAACATATACATAATTTAAACCCAACATTTACATATGATCATTCAAAGAGCCCCGCTAGATTGGAAGTACAAAAATAGGGTGTACAAGTAATTTGTGCATGATCTGTTAGCATTTCCTTTTAACATTCAAAACTACCCACAAGTGGAAGCTTTTCTACTAGCTTTGTTCTCCACAGCACTTTTCTGTTTCCACAGAGAGAACTCTAACTACTGTACTGCAGCTTTATTTTTTCTTCCATCGCATCCTGTTAACGGTGTTGTCAGACCTAGCTTGCTCTATTCACCATATCAAGCTTCCACTTTTGTCAGCCAGTTATTGGTATAGACAACTGTGCATACATGAATGGTTACTATGCCTACCTCTGACAGAAGTCTATCATCTAATGTTCTTTGTTTTTCAGCAATGGAATTGTAGTGCCTTCCCCTTAGATCAGCAATTTCTTCTTCAGTCAAAGGTCTGGAGAAAAAGGAAGAAAGAGGCTGCCCACTTGGCACTCTGCTCCACCAGCTTCCTCAGCAAGCTGTCATGGAGACTGTCTCCAAAGGCCAGATCTATCCTTCGCTAGATGTTTCTGCTGTCCTACATGATTAACTAAAATATTCCAATATTTATAAAACATACAGTACATTATTTATTTTCCTTTTTGTCTGCATATTTTTATTTAGATTGTGAAAAGGGACACATACATTACAGTAGCAATTCTTACTTCACAAAAAATAAATGATAAATTACGGCGATTTTAGAATTTATATAATTTATTAGCTTTATATACTGCCCTTTATCACAAGATCTCACAAGATAAAAATATAGGGTGAAAGCACATATAAATAGTTAAAACAAAACCAACAAAACAATAGCCTCCCTCCTCCCACAAACACATTTAAAAGGCTGTAGAATATTAATCAGCCAAAGGCCTGGTTGAAAAGGAATGTTTTTGCCTGGCACCTAAATAAATATAATGAAGGTGCTAGGGAAACCTCCCTGGGGAGAGCATTCCACAAATGGGAAGCCACTGCAGAAAAGGCCTGTTGTCATATTGCCACCCTCTGGACTTCATGATTAAGCTAATACATATTAGAAAATAGATATTAATATATTGATAATTGTTCAGACTAGAGAAATTGGGACTACAATTGACTTATCCCAATTTTTTTTTAAGAAGACATCAAAAAGACACTGATTTGGATTTTAAGGATAGACCACTCTTGCAAACAAAGACAAATTAAAAACTTTGCTTGGAATTTATTTCATTGGAATATGTGTAGCTATTTTAAGCCACAGTAAAGGCATTATACACTGTTAACATACACATTTTAACACACCCAAAAAGCGACAAACATTTGTATTTACTTTATATGGATGCATGGTTCTTAGGGGTAGTGATTTAAAAAAAATAATTACAATTTTGAAACTGCCTAATTTAGCTGATATTATACCTATTCAATATGTTACTATTTATAATTTTAAGAAACAATGCATTTTTAGAGATGGAAAATTACCCACCCACCAATCTGTCCATTCAAAATGCCAAAAGGCACTCTGATAAAGAACCTAATATTTCAGGCAAAATCACCCTGCTAATAGGAAAAGTAGATGATCAGAATGATGAAACAAGGTGAAAATAATAGTGGGTGGGAGAGAGAGAAAATATGTTATAAATACCCACCTCTGGTTGCTTCCTGGACTCTCACCCTATTAAAAATTATCAAGAGATACCCAATATTAAAGGCTATAACAATTGTATTATCATGCTATCTTTGAAACGGAACTGATAGATTTGTTTTAACAAGCAACCCCACCATCCTTTTAAAAATTAGAAATTAAATATATGGATCCATCTGTGATAAAAAACCCTGTCTTTATACGTTTTGATTCAATGATCTGTAACTCCATCTATAACATATTGGCAACATAAGAGCTAGGCAAAGCTGTGCTTGTTTGTATATAGCCCTTGCTCATAGACAGTCTTGGGGAACATGGTTTTCAAAATAATTATCAACTCATTATATAAAGAGGCTGTTTAAAAAACTGTTTCTTTCCATGTTTTCCCAATTTACAGCCTTTTAGGTTACCCTTGGTTCAAACATGCTTTAGAAGGCTAATGATCCACTTTACACATAAAATTGTTCTAATGACCTTTCTTTATCAGAAAGCTACTTACCTCATCGCTTTCCACTAGATTCTCAAACTGTAAGTAGACAGAACAATATTTCAATTAAACAAGTATTACAGCTAAAAATGAACATATATTTAGACATATATCATCCAATAGGTTCTTGATCTTATTTAAGTACCTATGCAAACTCAGTGGGCACTTACAAAGTTTTGGTAAAAACAGAAATCACACAAACATGCCCATCGACTTTGTTATTGTATTTCTTATGCTATTAAAGTAATTCTATGGAGGTCGGGCAGGCACAGGGAATAACTGCTGCTTCCGAAGCCTTGCTGGTCTTGTGCTGGCAAAGGTTTAGGAAAGCTTCCCACTGTGCAATGAACTTTTACCATTTTCCCTCCCATCAATTTTGAAGAGGGAAAATAACCACATCCTTCTTCACCCGTGGAATGAGAAGTCCGCTGGATCTAATTGCCACCCTTCACAGGGACACAGATATTTCTTCTACTCCTAGATGCCATATGTTTAGATACAAAATGCATCCGATACTTGTATCTAAAGGTATTTCCTTTCACATATTTCAATTAGGAAATGTGATTGCTTTTCTCCTATTAGTTCCAAAATGAAAGCAGCATTAAGTTTTGGAATTGAAAGCCTTTACTCACCTCTATAGTGAAGTGTTCTCCTGTGGCACAGGTCCTGAAGTACTTTGATCTAGAAAATAAACCAACATTTACCACAACATTAATTAGTATTATAACTGAAGAATTCTTAGAGTAGTTTTCTCTGTTCTCAGAAACTTTTAACACTACAGTTCTGTATCTTTTAAGAGCTGTGTATAGCAATGTGGGTTTTCTAGAAACGTTTTTCTGATGAGGGATCTAATTTAGAATGTTTACTTTTGCTTGTATTTAGTCAATAAAATTAAAACAAATATTCCATATTTTTTGTCCTCAAACACAGCAAGCATTTGAAATGAAATATTTGGAGGGATATTAAAGTACACACCATGTGGTTCAAATGTTATATTAAATAGACATTTTTATTGGAATGCCCTCCATTTGAAAGAAAAAAGGTCTGATTTTCATATTATCCAGTGCATGAGAAATTCAGCATATACCCTGTAAAAGGGACTGGTGTAAGTGTGGAAACCAATTAGATTTACAGTATGGCATGGGCAATGTAAGCACGGCCTTGTTATCAACAACAGTATGGGCACCTATTATGCTTGTGTATTTTCAAAAGGATTAATCAATATTATGCTGATGATATATTCACTTATCACTTTAGGCAGAGTACTATCAGATACTGTGGAATAACAAACCATACATGGAGTTCCACTACAACTGGAGCATCAGGGGGAGAGAGGTAATTTCCCCCAACTATTCCTTCCATGTGCAGCTCTCTGAAAGGCTGTTCTGGAGGGTTGGGGGACCCATTTGTACAGTAGAAGGTGGAAAATATACTTCTTCCCCTTCCTCCAGCAAGAGCCTCCCCAGGATTGCAGTCTCTTCTGCAATAATTATATAAATAACCTTTACAATAATGTTCTGGATGCTAAGAATATGTACAAATTTAACCCTTTTAAAATAAAAAAGAACTATAATAAAACATATTGCTTTCTGTATGTGGTGGCCTTAGGTACTCTCCAGGTAGGGCAATAACAGTAAGCCCAGAGCTCTAATTATATATATATTCCCAGAAGCATTATAAGAATGATGCTGTGATCCCTCTAGGAATAAAGTGGAAGTTAACAATGAGAGCACAGAAACTAGATCTGACCCACTTTCTAATTATGCCTGCAGCACACAGACAACGAAACTTGAACAACAAACAATTTAAACAGAATTTCTAGAACCACTGGCATTAAACCACTTTCTACATGAATAAACAGAGATTATATTTAAAAAAAAACATTTTTAGTTAACCCTGTGATGCTTGGATAATTTACATTAGGTTTATAAAAAAAATTCAGGAGATATTCAGAACAAGCAGCATGGAAATGTATGTAAGGTGTATTCTATGTAGACTAATTGTTTCACTCAATCCAAATATACATACTAATTAATGGACTGCATGTTATTATCATAGGTGTCAATGTTTCCCTTTTTTAAGGGAAATTCCCTTATTCCAAATAGGATTCCTTGCAAGAAAAGGGAAAAGTTGACAGCTATGTATTATTATTTATTAAATACATATACAACCCTTTATCGAAAGATTACGGAGCAGTATACAGTATAGGGTGGTAGAACAGGGGTTCACAAGATGTGTGGCCCAAAGCACTAACAAGAAACGGATGGATTTTTAAAAAGGCATTTTTTTGCTTTTTAAAAAGTTCAGACTGTTTCATATTTCAAGTTTTCCAAACCCACCTTTAAACAAATAATAATAATAATAATAATAATAATAATAATAATAATAATTCAGGGTAATTAAGAATATTGCAGAATATCCACCACCTGCAGTTTAGTAAGCTGCAGACACTGATGTTATATGAAAAGTACACTGATGCAGATTAGCTGCAGTTCTCTGGCCCACTATAAATTTTCAGAAAAGGCTTGGCTGCTGACAGAAAGGGTAAAAACACTTTTCTCCTTTACTGCTTTTAGAGCTGTGGACAAAGCAATCCAAATCCATGATCCACTGCTATGGATGGGTTTTTGATGGGCTGAATGTGTTTGCCTTGCCAGACTTTGCCAGCAAGGAGTCAATGCTATGATAAAGCTCTCCACTTCTATTGAATGAAAGCACAGGTGGAAGTTTCTGCCAGCATAACCCCCCCATGGGTGTTTTAGGAGCAGAGTTGGCCAAGGATCCACTAGATCCTAAGCCAGTACAATTGACAGCAAGTTGTGTCAAGCAGCCCAGTTTGAGCCTGTCAGCCTTGAGCTGGTCCAGCAAAGATGCATACTTTTCCTGCCCCTACATGTTTGCCATGGCAGGCAGTTCTCTGGATGTGGCAGTGCTCCGCTGCTCCAATAAGCCCTGCTGCTGTCTCAAGAAGTTAGGATTTTGCTCTCAAAAATGCTGTACTTTATGCACCTTTGTTGTAATTGGCAGACTTGGGGAAAAACATGGACATCTTGTTGTCTGAGCAACTAAGTAGCCTGCTATTGACATTGTCTCTTACTCATCCATATGCCTACACAAATTCAAACTATGCAGAGCATATTAAATAAGCTAAGGGGAAAATCTGGGCATAATACTCAGACACCAAACAAATCTAGGAAGTGTAAATTGGTGAGATTATTCCAAATCCCTTTGAGCGACTGACAGTTTGTTGTATTAAAATATTACAGATTTTATGTCTATTTTAATTTCTGAGGAAGGTGGGTTGATAGAACAAGGCAAACTGTTGCAGTTCCTGACATCACACCTTCCCATTGTCAACATTATTTCCTAGAAGATTGATTGCAACACTTAGTTTCTGTGAATTCTTTAATGTCATATCCCCTTCTTGAAGTGGCATCTAGTACACTAAAGCATAATTGCTGCCTGTTTGAATGTCACAGTGTCTGCAGTAAAGGCAAACACAAGGGATGAAAGCTTATAATGTACTCACAGGACCACAAAATAGACCTTCAATCTATGCTGAAACAAATGTTTCTCAGCTTAAACCATCTCTTTCCTTCTTAGTTATTGTTTCAATCAAATTCATGTAAACATCAGTCAAATCGTTTTTTTAAGGGAACCTAAGCCAGTAGGCTAGTCAACAGCAACCCTTAATCAGGGATGGGAAACCTATGCACTTCTAGTTGTTGCTGGACCCCTCACCCCTCCCATTCTGTCTGGCTCTGATAAGATTTGCCTTAGATGAAGCCAATATCCAGATTTGCTTTGCACTGCAATCCTATAGATGTCTACTCAGAGATATAAGCTCAATGGAACTTACAGTTGTGTATAAGATTGGATTGCGAAACATGCATAGAACTGTAGTATCAACTTTTCTATTGCTCTATTTTTTACTACATTTTGGAAAACTAATTGTCCTTTATCCTCCTTGCCTTTTACAGTAGGAATTCAAAGAAACCTACCACAAAATACAGTCATTTAATTTTTTTCTGCCCTTGTGCATACAGACCTTTGCACACACTTTTTACATTTATCCTGCAATCCTGTGCCGATCAACTGGAGAGTGGGATCCACTGATCTCACTGGGGCCTGAGTAAATCTGCATAAGATCAAGCTCCATGTGATCAAGCTCACTGGGTGGTTTTGCACCAGTCACTATTTCTCAGCATAACCTACCTCACATGATTGTGAAAATAAAATATGGGGGAAAGGGAGAACCATATATGCCACCTTGAAGCCTTTGGAGGAAAAAAAGAAAATATAAATATCACTAAACAAATGATAAACTGTAGCACAGAAATTCCTATCCTTCCCAGGATTGTTTTATATCTCCTTCTTACTGCTACTGTACCTTCTTCTGGATTAGTAGTATCACAGCTTTGAACCGCAATCAACACCATTTTATAGCATTTACAATACATTAAGATGAAAAGTTATTCTGCTTTTCTTTTGTTTACTGCTACAAGTTGTCAGTGTGGGGCTGGGCAATCCGTGTAAAGTTGCAACTGTCCTCCATTTGAGATTGTGACTGCCAAGCTAAGGGCCAGCAGACTCTGAATTCTTCTTGCATTTTTTTCCTGTTGACAGATGGAGAATATATCTATCTATACAAGTATAAGCTATACTCTTGTCAGGAGAACTGATCTGCTTCTCTTCCCCCAAGTGATGTTCTTTCATCTATGGATAAATACTACTAGAGAACCTTGAGTGACAGCAAAAGCAATCAGGAAACACTGACATTTCATTCTTTATTGAACCCTTCCTATGGGCGAGGGGTAAACAGCCCATCAGCCTGGAGGTGAATCTATTCCGGCGCTGCCTTTCCCCGTGACTAACCATATCCTTTTGAAAAACAGCCACACAGCCGACTCCCCACTACCATTCCACCCTCTCCAAGAGCTGGGTGAAGCTGCAAAAACGGCACCTATAACTTTTGCGACAGATTCCTGTTGCTATAATCTCGCATTACATTAGGCAGGAGAGCATGAGAGGCCTGCTGGATCACACCGAAGGTCCATCTCGTGAGCATCCTGTTTCCTCATAGAGGCCGATCAAATGCTTCCGGGGGGGGGGGAGCCGCACAAACTAAAGAGCCCTCACCCCGCTGTTGCTTCCCCGGCAGCATTCAGAGATACCCTGCCTCTGAACATGGAGGCTCCATCCAGCAATGTGGAGTGATGGCCGTCGCTAGACTCGCATTCCTGCTCCCTCCATTAACACCTGAGGCAGCTGCCACGTCTTGACAGTGTCAGCCTGAAGGGACGCGAGACTCCGCCGCTGAACCGCGAGGCAACTCGCCCTACAGTCCCACCTGGGCACTACCTAACCCCCCCCCACCTCGAAAAGGTGGAGTCACAGCCAGCCAGCCAGCCAGCCCTGCCCGTCCCGCCTCCTCTTCCGCGTCCCGTGCTTACCCTCCTCCTCGCTGGATCCGTCCCGCTTCCCGCCTCGGGAAGAGCCAGCAGCACCACTGCGCCGCCCAGCTGTTCCCCATGGCATGCTGAGGGGTGGGCGCGTGTGCGCACGCGCGCGAGGGCCACCAGCGTCCGTTAAGTCACCAACCGTCGCAGCAGCGCCAACCGACTATGACGGCGGTCCCTCGGCAACGGCGCCGCCGCCCAACGGCCGCAGCGAGCTAGGTAAAGAAACGGCACGGCGACGGGACCCCCCCTCTCTTTTGTTTATGTGGAGAAACACCCACAGGCCACACTGTCGCGCGACCACGAATTAAAAACGGAAAGCGCCCCCTCCCCCTCCCGCGCGGAGACTCCGCTCTGCTCCGCCCGCCTTCGCCGGCCCCCTCACACGCTGTGCCTGCCAGGTCGGCCGTCGCAGGCAGCCTCGGGCCCCGCCCCCTGGCCCTCTCAGGCCCCGCCCTCCTCATTCATGACCGGGAGCGAGGAGGCAGATGAGAGCATGCGCAGATGGGGGGGCGGGTGCGCCTTCTGACTCGGCTGTCTATCCGTGCGCTTTTACGCGCCGAGCCAAAGGTGGGAGGAATAGTGACTAATGCGAGTCGGGTGGGAATGTTACCGTGGCAATGAGCTCAGCGGGGAGAGCGGTTCCGGGAAACGTTTGAGCAAAGCGGCTGCTCTTCACGGCCGTGCCTAGAAGATGGCTCAGTCAGACCCCGAATATATTTCCAGGGAGGGACAGTGGTCAGCCCAGTATTTTTATGCATTCAGCACCCCCCCATCTCAGTTTAGCAACTCTATTCTGGATGCGGTAATGGTGATGATGGCGATAGTGGTTTCTCTAGCCCGTGTTGAATTGTGCATTAGCTAATAGCCTCAGAGGTCCAGTAGGCTGCTGTTTGCAAAGTTAGGTCCAAAGCTGGCTTTACCTTTACTTAGGCGCCTCTCGATTCCCTAGCTGCCCTCTTTCAGCTTTTAGCTGTGGAGTGCTTATTGATGCTGTTATTTTGATTTGGCTGCTGCTTTTGTTTTTGCTGCTTCACTGTCTTCCTTGCCCATTTCTGTAGTTTTGGAATGAGTAACACAAGGTTTGGAATGAGTAACACCTTAGCTTTGGAATGAGTAACAAAAGATGAAAAAGCAAATACAGTCAAACCTCGGCTCCCGAACGCCTCTGATTTGGAACGTTTCGGCTCCCGAATGCCAAAAACCCAGAAGTGTTCCGGTTTTCGAATGTTTTTTGGAACTCAAAAGTCTTTCGAGGCGTGTTTCTCCCCCCCACCCCCATTGAAATTGCTGGCAGCTCTTTGATTTCCGCCTTTCAAATGTTTCGGAAGTCGAATGGTCTTCTGGAACGGATTACATTCGAAAACCGAGGTTCCACTGTACAAGGCATTCAGTTAAATGTAGCTAAGACACCACAAATGCTTAATTACAGTCCTGTACTGGCTTAGCCACAGCTAAACCATAGTTTGAAGTTTCAACTTAATAGTTGGTGGGTTCAGATGAAACAGTAAACTATTTGCCAAGAACCCAGAAGTAAGTTAAGAAATTGCGGAATGTAAAGGGAGAATGAGATAGCTCTTAAGCCCATGGTTTGTGCCAGTTTGTGTACAGAAAGGGAAATCATGGTTTGACATTTTTTGAATCATACCAGACTGTAGCACATGAAGGCTATAGCGAATGAGTGACAGCAGGGCAGTCTCTCTTCTTTTTTTGCTTATGTTATTCTATTGTTCTGTAAAGGGCAACTCATTTTTTAACTTCTGACTTTTATTGGTGACTTTAAGAGGCAATCCTATGGCAAAATCCATTGGTATGAGTAGCTTAGAAAGCAGTGGACCTCTGACTCAGTTGGCTGATTCCTGATTCAGTTGGGCTCAGCCAGCATGAAGCCATCAGTCCTGGCACAGTGTAAGTGGCTGAGCTGAGGCCAATGTAAGTTTCAAGAAGGGCTGTTCTGCAGACATAGTACGGGCACGACCAGAGAGGAGGGCCATAACCTGGATCCCAAGACTAGTCATCTTGGTCATGTGACCTGGCAACCCAGCATAGAACACTATTTTCAAGGCTTGTTTTCCCTCCACCAGGCATGAGCAGAGCATGTGTCTTGTCTGTGGAGCTGTCTGTCTGTTTGGTTGTAAATCTTTTTGGTTGCCTGGGCAAGATAAGGTGAAAAACAAATTTAATAATAATGAAAAAGTGTAGAAATAAAGTTCAAAGAGAATTACATATTGGAATTTCCTCCCATGATAATTTGCTTTGGAATTTACACTTCAATAACACATGGACACATTTGTTTACAAGGAGGCAGCATAGAAGCAAATCATAACTGACATATGCTATATATTCCAAGGAGTCCCCAAAGAAAATTGAAGGGAGAATGCCATCATACATTACCTAGCATGTGTCAAAACACTGGTGTTTTCAGGGTTTGCTTTCATGCACTGCTGTCTTTATTTTGTATTATCTTCTGATTCAACATATCCACTGAGCATTTCAGCTAAGAACATGGCAGCTTTGTATGGCGGTACAGAAATCTGAACTAACAACACCTTGCTTCAAAAATTAGCTAGTATTAGATAACAAGATATGTTCTCTACTGAACTTGAAATGAGATTGAAAACTACTAAGGCAAAAGGAATAGACTTTTTTTTAAAGGACCTCACAATGCCAGGTGTTAGATTATAAATTATTTTGAACAGTTTCTAACAATCGCATTGTTATAAATCTTAGTACCCGGCATATTGCAAAAGAAAGCATTTTTTAAAAAAATGTAACGCTCATTTGTGGGCAGAGTGACATCATTTTATTTATCCTAAAATAATGAATTTTGTCTGCAGTTTATGAGTGGGGAACAAAGACTTACAGTATAAAATGCTAGATCCAGTCTTACTGCTAAGCACACCATGATAGGCTGCTTATGGCAGTACCTTGCAAAGGTGGCATTGGATGATATATGTGGGTGCCAGAATACCTTATCAGAGCTTAAAGCTGTTTGATATTTTACTGGCAATATAATATATTTGCCTAGAGTGAGGTGAAGTTGAGAGAACATTCTTAATCCAGTTGGTGTCCATTTTGCATGTCTTCACTGCTAAGTCTTGTTTTTGTTGCCATTAGTACTAACATTCCCCTGGCTTCATATTTCGTTGCTGAGATAAGATGCCTGAGTCATTCCTTCAGGATCATAATTGGATTAAGAGAACACATCATTTCCAGGATTCTCCACAGGCAATATCGGTATAAGACCTTTCTTTATTTACTGTAATCAGCATGCTCTTACTTTGTGTTTGAACCAGGAGCTCACTGATTGCTGTTTTGTATGTTCAGAATGAAACATGGAGAAAGGAAGAAGTCACACATGTTGGGTTCAGATGCACAAAAGTTCTCCATGCAAAAAAGATCCTAGTGGACATAGAACCAGGTCAGACTATTTGACCGTCTACCCAAATTTCTATAACTGGCAAGAGCTCTCCATGGTGTCATGGAGAAACCACATCAACAGCGATCTAATCCTTTTAACTGTGGATGGCAAGGCTTGCTCAATAGAACCTTCTGCTTACAAAGAATGTGCTCTACCCCTGAGCTTTCATCCCTCTGCATGGAAGAAAGTAATGTCTTCTCTGGTGCAATCATTCCTTGTGCCATTTTCCACTGGATGTTAACCCACAGTTTCCATGCTTTTTGGAGCACACCTGAAATGGTTAGTCCCTTAACTCTCATATTAAAAATGAATTGATCTTACAACAACCAGCTGGAATAGGGACATATCAGGGTGGTGCAGGAAGGAGCCAAATTGCTTGATTAATTTGATGTAATCTGCAAACTTGGCTTCCATTCGTTGACTTGCTCCTGATTCTACACTACAGTCTTTTGTAAGAATTACTGTACACTTCCCCCCATTGTCCATCTAGTCCTTCCCTCTGCTTCCCGTTTTTTTTACCCATTATTTTCCTAGTGTGCCTACTAAATGTTAATTCAGTGCTAGGTCATGTTAGAGTAGTGACTATCTGAAATACCCAATTTTGAAAATGTTTCCCTAATTATAATTTTCTTTATTTTGTATATGCTTAGTACATAGCTTGTATAAATTAAACAAGACACATCTGGCTTCTTTTGCAATTAGTTTGATGTCAACCCAATTTTCAGTAGATAGATTGGACTACAAAGGTTCATGTACACCATGTTGACTTCCATGGTAGAAGAAAGGTAGGATATTAATATACTAAATAAATAAGTTCTTTTGAAAAAGACACCTGACTAGCAGGACCTAGACTGCCAAACTGATATTTCCACTGAATGCCCTCAACTTTTCTTAACAGTCCATTGTTTCAAAGGAATGTCTTATCTGAGGGAGGTCAAACAGGTAGCTTGTAGCAATGTTGGAGCAAGTAACACTTCATTAATTTAGAGTCATTGCACATAAATCACAAGGAATTCTATTATGCTGATCTAAAGTACTTCATTTTGGATTTTAAGTTGGCTTGCCATTCCCCCCATCCCTCAGTCTGTGCTTTAAAATATGTCTCTGGTTTCTGGTTCACTAATGTTTCAAAATGAGCAGAGACTTTGTGAACTAATATTTACAGTGCCTCAGTGTTCTAGGTAAAATTATTATTTTGTGTAAAGTGTTCTGAGCCAAATGAATGAGGAAGAAAAAATACACTGAGAAATCTTACGTTCCACACCTCAAATCTTAGATAATAATTAAGTGCATCTGTGTCACCCTCCCTTTATTGTCCTCTACACAATATTGTATTTTTTTTTTAATCTTTGGGTTCCAAGACATGTGCACTGTGAAACTTCTGAGTGCGGTCATATTTATCTTTATCTTTATTCTTAATAAAAGAAACATAAAGGCAGCTGGTACCATTTTGTAGGATGCATTTAGTCTAACAGCATGTATGTATTGGTCTTCTTACTGAGTTCAGACAAACCAGTAAGAGCAGAGTTGAACACAAACCTCTTCCTCTTCACTGAATGACTGCCAGATTGCTCCAGGCCAAACTTTCCCAACCTGGTACCCTCAAATATTTTGGACTATAACAACAATCAGCTCCAGCCAGCACAGCCAGATTGGGAAATGATGCTGCAGTCTATTTCTTAGGATGCACAGCCTCTAGGGAGCCATTGGCATGCCAGGCAGTGAAGTAAGAGTGAAACACATGACACTAGATTTCACCGTGTCCAGAAAGATAATAATAATAATAATAATGATTTTTATTTATACCCCGCCCTCCCCAGCCAAGGCTTACCTCCCAGCCAGAGTGGCTTACAAGCAATAATAAAAACAAGTTGAATGATTACAACTTAAAAACAAAATAAAAAACAACATTAAAATATTGAAACATTAAAATATTAAAATGTAGCCTCATCGCAGGAGAAGGAAAGGAAAAAAGAAAGAAAGCCTTCCCTTCAGAGGAAGACTTCCCTTCAGAATGGAAAGACACACTGCAATACTGAAAAACACTTTGCTCTTAGGTTCATTTTTGAACTTTCTCCTTAAAGAGATAACCCTGAATCTTTTATTTGTAGTTGAGCAAACATGTTACAAGAAAGAAGGTTCAGACTGAACATCAGGAAGAACGTTCTGACAGTGGAGTGGACTCTCTCAGGAGGTTGTGGGCTCTCCTTCTTTGGAGAAAGCAAACATGCATACCATAAACATTTTTTTCATGAATTTTCCTTGATGGCAAGTCAGCTGAAGTTCTTCACGAAAAGAGGATTAACCAAGCAAGTCATGACTATAAAGTCAAAGCAGTTCAAGGTCAGGGTCCAATTGGTTCATGGGCAAAGCCAAGCCAAGAGGCAAGTCGGGGGCAGTTCTTGCTCAGATTTAGGGTAGGCAGGACGTCAAGCTAGCAGGCAGCGCACAGTACTGATACATAGACATTGTACCAGCAGCTTTTCCACCCCGGCACTTGTGGTTTTTAGCTGGAGCTGCTGGAACCGGACTACAATCTCAGCTAACTCCCATACATTCTATCCAGAGAGGTATTCTTAAGTAGAGGGTCTTATTTCTGAGGAAACCTTTACTCCTAAAGAATCCTTGCTTGAAGTCAGACACTTCCCTGGTTGGGCTGGGTTTGCTTTTAGTGTTTGAGGCATCACCTCTTTTTGGGGCTTGGGGCACATTCATTCTTGATGTCAGAACTCGCTCTGGGTGCAGATAGACCCTCCTCATGCTTGTCGCAGAATCCTGGCTCCCCATCTCTGAATGGAAGGTGACCCAGGGCTTGATTCCAAGGCCTCTTGGTCATCCTCTGTTGAAGATTCCTTTGGCCAAGACAAGACAGGTAGAGAATTATAACTATGTATGATTAACTTACCACATATGTATATAGTTAACATTTCCTTTTATAGGGTATTCCTCTATAACCCTTGCTAGAATAATTGAAATGTAACTTATGCATAAAGGAAATATATAGAAAAAGGAATGTACAATATGCACTTCAGAATATACATTTTACAGCTTCATGTAACATTTTCTGTTTCTAGTGGGGGGTACTGTGAAGATTTGAAAAAGTTGTATTCATCTATGGTGAAAACACATCAATATTTGTTTTGTTTCACAGCAGTAATATAAATATTAAATATCTATAATGTGTCATTTAAGAATTGTTCAGATAGCCTTAGCTCATAACGAAGTCAGTGAAACAAGAACTGTGCAGAGATAATGATCCTAATTGCTGGGCTTAGATGCTACTAGAAGCATTATAAACCTTATGTCCATAAGAGTTTTGATTTTCCACGGGGACACACTAATGCATTTTACAGGAAAGCTAATGCAAGGAGTACTTGACCTCATAGCGTCAAAGATCTAAACACAAGCAGCTTTGTTACTGTTTTAAACTGACAAAAATGAGAACTGAGCGTTGGGTCCAGTTCTACAACTTTAATGTGAACTGGATGCAACTAAAATCTGCTTCAAAGTAAAATGCATATAAAATGGTTTCAGTCTGGTGAGTGGTTCTTTAAACTTCTTCATCGTTTGCCCCTCACTTACAGAATAAATACCGGAAGAAGGGTTAAAAAAAAGAAGAGAGAGAGTAAGGGAGTTGCCTGCATGAGGGGAAACAGGATTATGTGCTTGCTTACCACAAAGCCACAAAAAACGGTCACAACTGTTCATAATGGGCTTTGATAACACCCACCAGTATTACATACCTGCTAACTTCTAAGAACCCATTGGGATTTCTTCAGATCAACTTGCTTAATGTGTACTAGGAGAATACACACACACTATGCTTCATATGTTCATACTGAGGCTGAATAACTTTCAGCCTAATTTCAATGCCAAGCCTTACTCTATATGATACAATAAATTAATTAATTAAAAAGCAAAAACAAAGTAATCTTGTCTCACCATTGGCATACTGGACATGTGTGTGTGTGTGTGTGTGTGTGTGTGTGTGTGTGTTGGGTTGTTTCTGGAGGAGAGGGGAATCCAGGTCAGAGGCCATTCCTGGTTTCTCTTAGGAGGACCAGATGGGGATGGGATGGATTTCCTGGCATTCTTGAACACCTGGCTCTTCTTACTCTTGGAATTAAGTATTTTATGCCACCCAAGCTATAATCACCCTCTCATTCTTGTACATTAGCCTTCCAAGTGGGCAGTGACCTACAGCAAGTTAATTATGAGCTCAAATGACAGTCTATGATTGAAGCTTCAGTACCAAAGAGCAGAATTTTCTTCACAGTCAAAGCAGATTTGGAAATACATTTATCACCAAGTCCACAGACACCGCCAGACTTTCATGCACATCAACTGGAGAATTTAAAACTTGGCCAAAGGATACATTCATTATTTTTTTGGCCAGAGCTAGAGAAAATTATTTAATCCCGACATGCTTTCCACTGCTAGAGCCCACATTTTCTTAAATCCTGTAAAACTTTTTCCTGCAAAAAAATTCCTGTAAATGATCACTTCCTTGTGCGTGGGACTAAAAATTATGCCTCAGAGTATTTGGAAAGTAGGTCAAGACCCTGAAGTGAATAAAACACTAGAGCTCATACCTATGAAACTTTTAATCCAGCCTCAGGGACTGGGCACTAGTAAAATACACCTGCTTAAGTGTGCAGAAATGCCATTAAACTATCGGTATTGCTGTTCACATATCTTGCCTTAAGTCCACAAAAGCCATGAAATGGAGGCAGGAGAGACTTAGCCACCTAACTGCTTACATGGCTCTTTCTCTTTCTCTCTTATCTCCTGGCACTCACTATAATATTATATAACTACAAGATATAACAGAACTATAAGATATAGTAAATAATACACAAAAGTTTCACCACCCACCACATATCTGTTAACTAAATATCATCTGGGGGAATTACCATCGTGTAAGTTAACATGAATGTTACTCTTTTAATTGTAGTGCAAGGCTGCCAACTTTTTCGGATGTGTGGGCATATCTGGAATTTTGAGAAAGTGCCCTGGGTGCAAGTCACAAAATTGCTCCGGTGAAGGCATCACAAAAAAAAGGCTGCTGGGTGGGGTGGGTATAACACAAAATAACACAAAATGGCTGCCACATCTAAAAGAGCAGGCCACAAAAATGATGCAGGCATTCTCCTCCCAAACAATCAGTTGTTCCATCAATGGGGAAAAGGCACCTGAAGTTCTTTGCACCTCTCATCTGTTCAGAGTGGATGGGAGGGTGTGTGTCCAATCTTGCTATCAAATTATATGTGTGTATATTTAAGGGGTATGTTGAACGTAGCTGAACCAGTGCAAACAGGAACTGAGCAGGAAAAGCAAACTTTCTCTCTTGTATCATGGATATTTTGAAGGGATATTTAATCTCACAGTCACCATAGGTAATACTGGCAGAACATTGCCATAACGCATTATAGTACATGATGTGCTCTGGTAAATAATATTCTCACCTATGGTACAATGTTTGACTTGGACTGAGAAGATGTAGATTCAAATCCTCTCTTAGCCATGGCGTTCACTATCTGGCCTTTGTAGCATCACTTTCTCAGCCCCACCCGCCTGATGGGATCACTAAGAGTAGGCTTGTCAACTGGTCAGGAGAAACAGACTGCTGACCCTGTGCCTTTAATATAAGTGTAATATGAAACACGGTCACCACAGATAAAACTGCCTTTTCCTCCATCTGCTGCTTAAGAGTGTTTGCACAGTAGGAACAAGGGTACTTGGGAGGGAAAGGCAGTGTAGATGGAATTCAAGGACTTGACCAGGCTGCAGAATGGAATGTAAAAGTGGCAATGGTGTATAAAGGAATATGAAATCCTTACACAGAGGTTTATCAGTGCAAACTACATCAAAAGTGCAGACTGCATCAATTTGCAAGCATTCCCAGCCCAGTACGTTCATTGTTCCTTTTAATAGTTGAGTGAGCACTTTATTGAGAACACAAGAAAATTATTTTTTAAAACACATTTCTTCCTACATAAATTTGGAACCAAACTGAACAGTATACATGTCAACAGCAATATATCAGGAAGATGCTGCACAAGCAGTTCTTGTTAACACAAGGAATCAGAATGTTAAGCACCCAGCTGATAAAAATTTGCCAGAGAGGTGGAAGAAAAAACCCCCAGTATCTGTTCAGGCCAGCAACAGAATGTAATGGCTGCATAATATGCTGACACTTCAGCAGAGCCTGGTTTGTGGAGCTCAGCTGCTTGTGAAAGATAGCGTGATCCCAACAGTCTAAGGTTTACAGAATGAAATGCCTAAGGAAAGCAGGTGCTTGGCTGATGTCAGCTCTAGTTAAGCATTTTACAGCATAGTGCA